CTGGACCTATATCTGGACCTGGACCTATATCTGGACCTGGACCTATACCTGGACCTATATCTGGACCTGGACCTATACCTGGACCTATATCTGGACCTGGACCTATATCTGGACCTGTACCTAATCCTGGACCTATATCTGGACCTGGACCTATACCTGGACCTATACCTGGACCTATACCTGGACCTGGACCTGGACCTATATCTGGACCTGGACCTATACCTGGACCTACCATTCTGTGTTCGTCTGTCTCTCCTTCCTGTCCTCTCAACCAGCAGGTCAAAGCAGATGGTCTCTTGTCCTGAGCTGGTTCTGCTGGAGGTTTCTTCCTGTTAAAGGGAGTTTTTCTTTCCACTGTCTCCACTGTGCTTGCTCAGGATGGGAGACTGCAACGAAGCCAAGATTCAACTTGTCTGCTGGATTCCTTAGATAGAGAACTTTACTAATTGTCTTTTATGTGAATGTTCCTGTAAAGTCCCTGAGACAACTTTGTTGTGATTTGGCGCTTTATGAATAAACTGAATTGAATCTTGAAGGCACAGAGATAGTGTGATGAGATCCTGAGGTCCAGTCTTGTACCAGTCATCCACGACCATCACCTCATGGATAATGCACGGCCCCGTGTTGCAAGGATCTGTGCACAAGCTGGAAACCTGGAAGCTGAAAACATCCCAGTTCTTCCATAGCCAGCATACTCACAGGACATGTCACCCACTGAGCGCATTTGGATGCTCTGGATCAGCGTATACGGCAGTGTGTTCCAATTCCTACAATTTCCAGCTGCACAGCCACTGAAGAGGAGTGGACCAACGTTCTACAGGCCACGCTCAACAACCAGATCAACTCTATGAAGGAGACGTGTTGCACTGTGTGAGGCAAATGGTGATCACACCAGATACTGACTGGTTTTCTGACCCTCTAGGACCCCCACAACTGTGGCCATTTGTTGTGGTCAGCCTAAGACTCACCTGTACAATAATCCTGCTGTCTAATCAGCATCTTGATCTGCCACACCTGTGAGGTGGGTGGATCATCTCACGAACAGATTTACACAACTCTGTGAAAAGCATTTTGTGTTCATAGAAAAAGTTTTAGATCCCATTAGCAAAACGGGAGCAACAAGTGCTGCGGTTATATTTTTGCTCAGTATACATGAAGAACTCCCTTCACCACACCATCATGTCAGGTGCATATTTAACTGATGGAGGAACCTGACAAAAGCACACAACTGTTCACGCACGTCATGATTCATGTGGTAACCATGCAGCAACCAAACAGGAGACAAAGTCTTGTACCTTAACGAGGTAATCCCTGGACAGTAGTGGAAGTCTAACATGTTCCATGAGTTTGGGCATGTTCTCCAGACGAGCAGGTTTATCGTGTTTGATCCACGCTATCATCGCCTCAAACACCTGAGAGATGGAGGGACAGAAGTCAGGCAGGAGACCTCACAGGACAAATGAATACTTGTTGTGTTACAGCACAGAACGTTGTGCGTTTGGCTTTGTGTTTCTCTGATGAGAAGTGCATCACTTCAACTCCAGATGTTGTTCATTTAGTGACAAGTCCAAAGTGCTCAGGGCCAACATGATTCAACATAATGAAGGAAGAGATTTACTTTTAATTGGGTTGTTGAAGTTTCTATACTAAAAGGAAAGCATCCAAACAAGCATGAAAGAAAATCCACCCACACACCAGGAGGACGTCCCAGAGACAGACCAGCGGGAAGGAAACAACTCCTGACAGGAAGCACCCTAATGTGTTTTTCTAATGTTCTCCTGTTGAACAGACAGGACTGAGGTTTTAGTTTTTGGACCTGAGCACCTTAGGAATGAATGTTTCAGTCTTTCTCCCTCCTTAGATGCATTAATCTGTCCTCCAGCTCTAATGTTAAAAATCTTGGTGTTATTTTTGATCAGGACATGTCTTTTATCCCCCACATTAAAAACGTTACTAGAACCTCCTTCTTCCACCTGCGTAATATCACTAACATTAGAAACATCTGATCTAAAGATGATGCAGAAAAACTGGTCCATGCATTTGTCACGTCTAGACTGGACTATTGCAATGGTTTATTATCTGGGTGTCCAAATACTTCTTTAAAACGTCTTCAGTTGATCCAAAATGCTGCTGCCAGAGTTTTAACTGGAGTTACTGGGAGAGATCATCTCTCTCCAGTTTTAGCTTCTCTCCATTGGCTCCCTGTCAAATCCAGAATAGAATTCAAAATCTTACTTCTAACCTACAAAGCCCTCAACAACCTAGCTCCATCTTATATTACAGATCTTATTGTTCCATATTTTCCTAACAGAGCACTTCTCTCAGACTGCAGGTTTACTTGTGGTTCCTAGAGCTTCCAGCAGCAGAATGGGAGGAAGATCTTTCAGTTCTCAGGCTCCTCTCTTGTGGATCCAACTTCCAGTTTCTGTCCGTGAGGCTGACACATTGTCCAGTTTTAGACTTTCCTTTTTGATAAATCCTATAGTTAGGGTCGGCTTGGGTTTCCTGAGCTGTCCCTTAGTTCTGCTGCTATAGGCTCAGACTGCTGGAGGACAAACTGACCACACTTTTCACTCTGCTACTGTCTTTACTTACTCTGCTCAACCTGTCTTGTAATTATTTTTTCTATCCTTAACGTGTTTTTTTGTCTTTCAGTTACACCTGGACCTATATCTGGACCTGGGCCTATATGTGGACCTGGACCTGTACCTGGACCTATATCTGGTCCTGGACCTATATCTGGTCCTGGACCTATATCTGGACCTGGACCTATACCTGGACCTACCATTCTGTGTTCGTCTGTCTCTCCTTCCTGTCCTCTCAACCAGCAGGTCAAAGCAGATGGTCTCTTGTCCTGAGCTGGTTCTGCTGGAGGTTTCTTCCTGTTAAAGGGAGTTTTTCTTTCCACTGTCTCCACTGTGCTTGCTCAGGATGGGAGACTGCAACGAAGCCAAGATTCAACTTGTCTGCTGGATTCCTTAGATAGAGAACTTTACTAACTGTCTTTTATGTGAATGTTCCTGTAAAGTCCCTGAGACAACTTGGTGTGATTTGGTGCTTTATAAATAAACTGAGTTGAATTGTTAAAGGGAGTTTTTCTTCCCACTGTCTCCTCTGTTCTTGCTCAGGATGAGAGACTGAGATGAGATGAAGATTCAACACAATCTGCTGCTTCCTCAGAGAGAGAACTTTTACTAAATGTCTTTTATAAAGTCTGTGATTGTTTCTGTTCAGTGTCCTGAGAAGACGTATGTTGTGACTTACAGAAATAAACTGAATTGAATTGATTTGTTTTTTTCCAACAGAGCAGTCTGAGGAAATATCTTTCTTAGATTTTAGCTTGTTCTAACTTTATCTCCACTGCAGCAGCAAACTGGTTGATCTTTGTGTTGTGCCACATTTTGTCCTCAGATGTCTGTTTGACTCTGGACATGAGGACATGTCCCTCTGTGTCTCAGTCTTCTATGACAGCAGAATGACACACAGCTACTCCCTGCCCAACTGGAAACAATGACAGAACGTGAAAAACATCTTCTGCCAAACTACGCTACAAAAGTAGAAAATCAACTGAACCAGTCAGAAATCATCCGGCATGAGTGAATAAATAATAACATCTCCTGATGCAGCCTCAATAATCAATATAATAATTAATAATTATGAATATCCTTCTTCAAGGAGCCTGGGTCACTGTGTGTCTGACCTTTTCCTCGGTGGAGACGGTGAGTTTGTCGCTGGAAATCAGGCTGCACACCTGCTGCAGAGACAGAGCCAGGAACTCGTCGCCCTGCACCACCTCTGAGAAGTGCTGCTCTGGAGTCACACAGGACAGGTGTCACACACACACACACACCTGCTCATGCAGAGATGGTCCATAGGTCTTACCAGCGTATGCGTGGGCCTGGCAGAGAAGCTGCGTGCACGTGTGCAGGTCAGCAAAGGCTCGGATGCCCAGACAGTTGGTGGGATGAAGCTGAGACTGCAGGAAGTCGCAGCAAACCTGACGGACGTCCATGAGCTGCAGGAGACCGGCTGCTGGCAGAAGAACCTGCAACAGACACCGTCATTAGACCTCAATGTGTGGAAACGAGGAGCGGAACGCAGCGGCTGGTTTTAATAACCTGCACAAGATAAATCCACTCGACAACACGGCAATTCAAACTGCGATACCTGTAAACCCTCAGGTGATCGTCCAATCAGCTCCAACCAAGAGCCAGCGACACGCAGACACAATTTTTTATCTTCATACTTGGAGACTGAATACTTTACTAAATAAAGTAATTTCAGTACAATTAACCCTTGTTTTAAATTTTATATAATACTGCAAAGCAACATGTTAAGTTAATTTTGTCAAATAAATAACTATGATTTCTGTTTTTTTTTGTTATATCACGAAATGTATCGTTATCGTCAGAATGCTCTGAAATATCACGATATTATATTTGAGCCATATCGCCCAGCCCTAGTTTCCAACAAGAGGAGCTAAAATACCAGCCAGGTGTTTTGAAATATCGTATGTCACTGAGTTCATGCTGCTGAGGATGGGTCCGAGTGGTGTTCCTTCTTTGTGTAGTTGTGGAAGTCCATAAAGTCGTGGAGTGGCTTCCCCCGGGTACAATCTATAGCACAACAAGCGATTGACTGTTTTCTCTTCTTCAAGTTTTCACAGGTGGTCTGCGACCTTCTGCTTGTAGGTGCTGGTTGGATCCCTCTTCAAAGTCACATAGGTGGTACTGACACTCAGTAGTGTAGATATTTTTCCAGGTAATCAAAAGTGTTGAGAACTATTGTGCATCTTCCTTTGTCAGCTGGTAAAATGGTGACGTTTTGGTCCTGGCTGAGCGACGTTATAGCTTTTCTTTCCTGAGGTGTGAGAGGGGCTAACAAAGACTAGGGTTGTACATCTCTGTGTGATAGACGATTCGATTCGCATCTAGATACAAAGGTTACGATTCGATTCAAAAAAAGATTTATTTTAAAAACAGAACGATTTGATTCGGTTTGATTCAATTCAACTTTATATAATTCTACAGTTTAACATTTGTTGAATGTAGACAAATATTAATTATGAACAAAAAGGGCCATTTCTATAAATGTGACATTCTTACATTATTTTTAAATTTGTAAAAGTCTACACATATATCTAAAATTGTGCAGTAAGGCACAGGCAAGAATAAAGTAAAAAGCCAAACAACAGAATCACATGTCAAATGTGTTTATTTTTAGACATGGACCTAAAAAGACCAGCTAAAAGAATATTTCTTTGTTTGATGGGATCAGTATAAAATGAGAAAATAAAGAAAAATTATAAAATGCACAAATGATTACAGCAGCATGTAATAAAACAATAGGAATAAGCTTCAGTAAGCACAAAGCACCTGTGCAATAACCTGTCACATACCCTGCGTAGTTTGGTAGTTATGTGCAATATATATCAGGTGCAGTTTAGCTTATATTACATTACTACCTTGAAATACTTATTCACACAAATTCATTCTGCTTCACTGTAAAAATTCTACAATGTTGTTGTTTACCATTTTTCTCTTCAGAAACTTTGTAAATATTATAATTACTTTTTCACTTGTTGGTAGTTTATTTTGTACCCTTATTGCATGCTTTAGTATTTCTTGTTTGCTTGTTTTTTGTTTTTTAGCAAGTCAAATCGGTTCTTCTCATCCTGAACATTTCATCGTGTTAACCTTGCATATGACAAATAAACACAACTTGAACTTGAACTTAATAATACAAAAACATAATGCAAGAACAGTACGCCTAACAACAGCAGCACGAACATGAGTTTGTGTGAGCAGGTGGGCACAGATTAATATAACATCATGTCATTTAAACAGCAGCATGAGATCAGATCAGCAGCATGGATAATCAGCAGCACATATCAACAGTCAAAGTGCCGATTACATGTATAAAAGAAATCAAAGTGCAGCTTTCTGACCTGGTGAGGTAGTCTAAACAAAAGTAACGTCCTGCATTTCTACATTCACGTCAGGTTCAATCTGAACTCAAACACAGTGAAGTAGTTCACTTCCTTATGTTTGTATGTTTACCTATATTTTTATTCATCATAATCACTGTCCTCATCTTTTTTTTGGCAGCAGATTTTTCTTAAGGAAAATCAGCTGATCCACATGCTCATGTTTGAGTAGACTGCGTTTTGTGGAACAACATCTCCTGCAGTGCTGAAAACTCTCTCAGATGCCACACTGGTGGCCGGTATGCACAGATACATTTTAGCCATAGATGACAGCAGTGGCAAGTCCTGTTGCTCTTTCCACCACTGTAGTGGGTTTTTGTTCAGGGGCAAAGGATCACGCTCTCTGTACCTCTTGACTTCTTCATTGGCCTGGTCCCTCACAGATCTAGATGCCGTCCTTACTTGAAAGTCTTCTCCCAACAGCTGGTCCAGGCTGACATTCTCTTCTTTTTACAAGGAGGTTTATCATCTGAAATAGAAAACAAGTACCATATATTACTGGCTATGTTTGCCATGAAGTTTTTTAATTGACTACCATTTTATGTATAAATCTTCATTTGATGTTCAGAATTTATTTATGTAAGGACTCGTGTACATATGTAAAATATGTATCATCATCATCATCATTATTATTTAACTCTTTCTTTGCATGCAGATCCTCTTATTATAGTGAATGTGTTTTATACTGATACTATGACTGCAGCACAAGTTTAAGACAAAGTCTTCTCGTTCTTGATCACAAGTTATAAAACACACAAACCTTTATGCTCATCTTGGGTCTGGGGTACATCAATGCAGACGTCCGGATCTCCATTTGCAGGTTCACTCTGACATGGATCAGTCTGCACTGGACCTCTCTGAACTGAAGCCCCCGTTACCTAGAAATAAAACATGAAATAACATTTAGTGTACAGTATGGTTAAATGCAGTGTAAAGAATCAAATAAACAGTAGTCAGAATATATCTAATGACAGCAACAAAACACAGCAGACTGTAACTGAATGTACTGTAAGATGTATTTTGTCAGTGTGTTGGGGGATTTACCTTGTGATGCAGGGATGCTGCTTCTGCTGATATGCTTGTGAATGTCCTCTCTGCATCATGGTTACTGAGGAAGGGCAGGGACTTAAAACGGGGGTCCAGAGCTGCTGCAGTGTGGAAGAGATCTTCAAGGCCTGTGTAGCGTTTCTCCAAGTCATTCTTGAATGCCTGCTTCATCTCTCTGATTAACACTGAGTCTTCATCTGATGGTTCAAAGTTCTTTTTAAGCTTTGCTTTTACAGGAAGAATCATTGAGAGTGTGGGTCGCTTGTCTTCAGACATGCTGGTAGTCACAAGTTTGACCGGCGCCATCAGTTTGACAATGTCTTCAATGTCGCAGAAGTCTTTGTCCTTGAGAGTATTCACCTCTTCTCCTTTTCTGAGGTCCCTGGACATGAGTGCTGCAGAAATCGCAGGATGTTGCTCAAAAAAGCGTTCAAGCATGTCATGGGAGCTATTCCACCGCGTGGATACATCTTGGATGAGTTTGTGGGAAGGCAAGGCTAGTTGTTTCTGTTTCTCTTGAAGGATTTCTGCTGCCCTCACACTACGATGAAAAAAGGCAACGGCTTTCCTCACTCTCCCCAGCAACCTCGCTACTGTGTCAACTTTAAAGGCTTTCTGTGTGGCGAGATTAATAGTGTGTGCAAAGCACATGAGGTGAGGGGTCATCTCTGCTTCCACTCCAGCTAATACCATGTTTGTGGCATTGTCTGTCACCAGGGCTGGATCTTTATCAAGAAGGTTCCAGTCAACACATGCCTGTTTTAGCAGAGCACCAATGTTTTTCCCAGTGTGGGATCCTTTGAATGCCCTGGTTTGTAACACATGCACATTTAACTTCCAGTCTGGAGAGATGTAGTGGACAGTGCTGGTCACATAAGACTCAGTGGAGCATGACGTCCAGGCATCGGTTGTAACAGCAACTCGCTCTGCATGTGCCAATTCTTTTTCAACTTGGCTCTTCACTTGGGCATGCAACGCTGGGATGCATGTGTTTGTGATATGCTGCCGGGACGGAATCTTATATCTGGGCTCTAACGTATGAATCAAATCCTGAAATCCTTCCCCCTCCACTATATTGTACGACCATAAGCCCTTAGCTATGAAATGGGTTATTGATGCTGTTATATCCTTAGCTCGTGATGAACTGTCGCCGAGTTGCCCGTAAAATTTAGTGATAACGTTACCCGTCGCTCTCTGTGTGGCAGCTGCCTGCTCCTGCTCGTTGTTATGGGGCTTGAGAAGTTCGCCATACTCCTCTCTGTGTTTTCTCGTTGCATGTTGATCAAGGTTTGTTGTGCTACCAGTGTACTTCAGAGGTGCTCTGCATAGCTTACAAATAGTGTGGTTTTTGTTGAGTTTTCCGTCCTTCTTGTAAAACCCGAAAACGTTCCACACTTTAGACTTTTGTCTGGCTGCTGTATTGAAAATCTTTCGCGGTGATCCGCTAACGCTGCTACTATTTACATCCATTCTCGTTGTCTTGGTGAGCTACGGAGCATGCGCGAGAATAGCTTCGCGGGCATTTCAGACTCTCGCATTGTTTTATAAACGCACTGTCAACCGAGCTAGTCTCGCGATACCCGGTTCATGTCTCTTCAACCGGTTCATCTCAGCATTTGTGGCTGGTTGCTGTCGATTTATACGGCTGCTACCGACACAATCATATCGCTAGCTTGTCAAACCGGATATCCGGTCGTATCGGTTTATCTATAACAACCCTAACAAAGATCCTAATGATCCTCTATTGTGAAGAGTGAGAGGTCAATCTGCATGTGTCAATCTGCATTATGCAAGCTTACAGAACACCTCTGCTTTATAACTTAAATCCCACACTCTATTTCTTTTAATTGAGAAAGCTCCTCGGAAGAGACGTCTTCAGTTACAAATAAAGACTAGTTGTTTTGTTTTGAACCTTTTTTTAAATTTACCATGTCCTGGATGACTGAGAATCTTCATCAGCGTATTGTAAATAGACACTTCTTTATACTGTCTGTGACCGGTGCTTCCATGTAACATCAGGGAAAGCCTGTTTTTGATTCTGTGCCTCTTGCTAGTAAAACTAGGTTGAAAAAAATCTTGTATCCTCTCAGTGGCTTATTTGATTAATGTGATGATGAAAGGGTGATTAATTTATCCAACAAAGACCTCAAGCTAAAACCCAAAACCAAAAGGTTTAAAAACTGACATTACTTGTTACAAAAACTCCTTTCAACAAGATGCCATGAAGAAGACAACACAGAGCAGTGAAACACGAACAAGACGTTACCTGAGAGAACAACACTCACCTGGACATTGTCCTCCGTCACCTCGATCTCTGCTGTGTAGATGTAGTCTACCAGTTTCCTCAGGGTCCCACCGTCCACTTCTCTGATCTCCACCTGGGGGGCTTTGCTCTCGCTCATCTCACCTGAACACAGACACAGACGTGTGACACACGTGCACACGCACACACACACACCTGACGAAGGTAAGAGCGGTTGTGTGTGTGTACCTGTGAACATGGCACAGAAGTAGGGGCTGCAGGAGGCTAAGACCACCCTGTGAGCTGGGACCTCCTGGCCGTCTGCCACCAGCTGCACGTCGCACAGCAAGCGTTTACTGAAACACATGTTTTAGTCTCAGTTACAGGAAGCTCTATTTTCAGTCGGGACTATTAATTAATACTAAACCAGTTAGTAGTTAGAATACTTTTGAGTCGCTGTCTCTAAGTCTGTCCCATCCTAAATGGAAAACGGAGCGGCCACTCTCACTACTTGTTATATATCGTCCACCAACCTCCTATACTCAGTTTTTGTTTGAATTCTCAGAATTATTAACTGACTTACTATTAAATACTGATAAAATCATCATAATGGGTGATTTCAATATTCATGTAGATGTTGAAAGTGATAGCTTAAGCATAGCCTTTAAAAACTTAATAGAGTCCATTGGTTTTACCCAAAATGTCTGAACACTGACTCACTCTCCTCATCACACTCGACCTGGTTCTGACCTATGGCAAAGAGATTAATAACTTAGCAATATCTTCTCAAAATTCTGTTCCATTTTTTAAATAATCTTTGAGTTTAAATTAAATGACTACAGTCACTGAAAGCAAATTTCACCTTAGCAGGTGCTTATCAGAAAACGCTGTAACCAAATTTAAAGATCATCTTCCATTGTTTTACTCTGTCTTGCAGAGTAATACATCAGAGAACAGTAACTTAGATCATCTAGTTGATAATTTTACAACTACTTTGCAAACTTCAGAGAAGATTAGCTCCTTGGTTCAATTCTGAGTTACATACTTTAAAACAAACATCTAGAAAGTTAGAAAGAAAATGGCGCTCCACTAACATTGAGTAATCTTACTTATCCTGGAGAGATAGCCTGCTAACATAGAATAAAGCACTCTGTAAAGCTAGAACTTTACATTATTCATCTTTAATTGATGAGAATAAAAATAACAGCAGGTTCCTTTTCAGTACCATAGCTAGTCTAATGAACAATCCTATCTCTGTTGAACCATGTATCTCTACAACTATAAGCAGTGATGGCTTCATGAGATTCTTTATAAATAAAACTGTTTCAATTAAGGAAAAAAATTCAAACCAACATTCCTACTATCACCTCTGGTTCTGTGTCAGATGAGACAACTTTAGAAATGTTACTAGAACCTGATTTATGTTTGACTGTTTTTGTCCTGTTGAGTTCTCTGAAATGTCAAAAATAAAAGCTTCATCCAAACCATCTTCACGCCTGTTCGATCCCATCCCAACCAGGCTGTTTAAAGACGTATTTCCCTTAATTTATAACTACGTCTTGGATCTGCTTAATTTGTCTCTAATAAATGGTTACGTAACTTTGGTTCTTTTATGATACTGACCGAACTGTTTTGATCGGTGTTAAGATCAAAACACGCCTCTTCTTTCGATGTCAAGTTTCGGTGATTGGCTGTAACATGACACGTGGTTTCAGCACTAGAGGATGATACATGTGTGCATTTTCACTCCTGTCCTGTCCTAGTCACACAGAAAAAAATGCTGTCCTGTCCCACTCCTGGTAACATGACTCCCGCTCCCATCTTGTTCCCATTCAGAATGACTCCCACTCCTGTACCGCTCCCATTGTTTTTCTCTTCCAATTAGTCTTTAGGAAATACATTGAATTTGATTTGATCTTCTAGCCATTCATTTTTATAAATGGTAAATGGATTGTACTTATCTAGTGCCTTTCTATCTTTTTCAAGAAACTCAAAGCGCTTTACACAACAATCTGTGCCTGATTCACCCATTCATACAGCTCTCTACTAGATCTCTACAAAGCTAATTGAACAAATCATTCTAAAGAGACTAATCAGAGCTTTAGATCACATTCAAACACTGATGGGACACACATCAGAGGCTATGAGGGGTTTAGTTTCTTGCCCAGGGACACTTCGACATGTGACTGCTGGTGGATTTGAACCCCCAACTCTCGCATTGGAGGACGACTGCTCTACCATTCTATGTTCGTCTGTCTCTCCTTCCTGTCCTCTCAACCAGCCGGTCAGAGCAGATGGTCTCTTGTCCTGAGTCTGGTTCTGCTGGAGGTTTCTTCCTGTTAAAGGGAGTTTTTCTTTCCACTGTCTCCACTTTGCTTGCTCAGGATGGGAGACTGCAACGAAGCCAAGATTCATCTTGTCTGCTGGATTCCTTAGATAGAGAACTTTACTAATTGGCTTTTATGTATGTGAATATTTTTGCAAAGTGCCCTGAGACAACTTTGTTGTGATTTGGTGCTATAGAAATAAACTGAATTGAATTAACCACTCGGCCACAGCCACCCCTTTGTGTTCTGTAGTTTTATTTCAAAAGATATGGCAACAGGAACAGTTCATCTGTAGTGAAATAGAGAAGTATTTATTGCCTTAATCCAAACAAGAACCTTCACTAAAGGTCACAAAACTAAGAATACATGGCCTGTAGTCCCCACGAAAAAAGGTTTGTAAACCCAATAATCCAGGTAGATAACAACAAAAATGGTTAAATCTGGACCAGTTTTGTAATATGAAAATGTGTGAAATGTGTGGTTCCTATAGTTTTTCTGCGGAGATCAGCTGCTAAGTCCCTGTTTCTGGCTCTTTTGGAGGTCAGTTACAGTAAAAACAAAAAATGAAAAAACAACAGTACATGGGTCACACCATGAACCCAAACAGAACATATAAAGTTGCATTTCACTAACTTATTGAGCAATTGTTTCTTTTAAACAGTGGCATTACTGCCATGTTTCAAATGGCTTAAAATCCTTGAACTTCCTGCTCAAACATTTTGTTGAGGTTATTTTGGGTCACTATATCTCAATGAAAGGAGTACATAACTTGGTTCAACCTGGTTAACCAATCTCTACCATTTGTCTGAGATTTGCTATCCTTAAGAAATCCACTAGGGGGCACTGCATCTTTGAATAGTCTTCTTCTTCATTCCCGCTCCAACCAGGGCGTCCAAGACACAAAATCTTCTGACACATGTTGACTGTTTTCGGTGAAAATTTGAAAGGTAGGGATAGTTTTCTGACATATAAGTGTGTTAGAGTCCTCACTAAACAAATTTATGTCATTTGATATCATCTAAAAATATTAATTAAATTTCAAATAATTTTTTGAAAACGTGCTTAACCAAATGGTTGATTCGGCACTTCATGGTAAATATAGCAAATTAAGCTAATGTAAATAAAATTGACTTTTTTTCAATAAAATCATAACATTTTTATTTATTGCTGTAAATATGAAACATAAAGTGTTATTACATTGTTATGCATCATGAATAAGCTAAGATAATTACTTTACACGTTAATTTGTTACTTTCTGAGTTTACAGGTCCTTCTCAAAAAATTAGCATATTGTGATAAAGGTCATTATTTTCCATAATGTAATGATAAAAATGAAACTTTCATATATTTCAGATTCATTGCACACCAACTGAAATATTTCAGGTCTTTAATTGTTTTAATACTGATGATTATGGCATACAGCTCATGAAAACACAAAATGCCTGTCCCAAAAAATGAGCATATCATGAAAAGGTTCTCTAAACAAGCTATTAACCTAACCATCTGAATCAACGACGTAACTCTAAACACCTGCAAAAGATTCCTGAGGCTTTTAAAAACTCCCAGCCTTGTTCATTACTCAAAACCACAATCATGGGTAAGACTGCCGACCTGACTGCTGTTCAGAAGGCCATCATTGACACCCTCAAGCAAGAGGGTAAGACACAGAAAGAAATTGCTGAACGAATAGTCTGTTCCCAGAGTGCTGTATCAAGGCACCTCAGTGGGAAGTCTGTGGGAAGGGAAAAGTGTGGCAGAAAACGCTGCACAACGAGAAGAGGTGACCGGACCCTGAGGAGGATTGTGGAGAAGGGCCGATTCCAGACCTTGGGGGACCTGTGGAAGCAGTGGACTGAGTCTGGAGTAGAAACATCCAGAGCCACCGTGCACAGGCGTGTGCAGGAAATGGGCTACAGGTGCCACATTCCCCAGGTCAAGCCACTCTTGAACAAGAGACTGCGTCAGAAGCATCTCGCCTGGGACTGCTGCTGAGTGGTCCAAAGTTATGTTCTCTGATTACAGTAAATTTTACATTTCCTTTGGAAATCAAGGTCCCAGAGTCTGGAGGAAGAGAGGAGACACAGAATTCACATTGCTTGAGGTCCAGTGTCAAGTTTCCACAGTCACTGGGGTGCCATGTCATCTGCTGGTGTTGGTCCACTGTGTTTTATCAAGGGCAGGGTCAATGCAGCAGCTATCAGGAGATTTTGGAGCACTTCATGCTTCCATCTGCTGAAAAGCTTTATGGAGATGAAGATTTCATTTTTCAGCACGACCTGGCACCTGCTCACAGTGCCAAAACCACTGGTAAATGGTTTACTGACCATGGTATTACTGTGCTCAATTGGCCTGCCAACTCTCCTGACCTGAACCCCATAGAGAACCTGTGGGATATTGTGAAGAGAAAGTTGAGAGACGCAAGACCCAACACTCTGGATGAGCTTAAGGCCGCTATCGAAGCATCCTGGGCCTCCAGAACACCTCAGCAGTGCCACAGGCTGATTGTCTCCATGCCACGCCGCATTGAAGCAGTCATTCATGCAAAAGGATTCCTGACCAAGTATTGAGTGCATAACTGAACATGATTATTTGAAGGTTGGTGTTTTTTGTATTAAAAACACTTGTCTTTCATTGGTGGGATGAAATATGCTAATTTTTTGGGACAGGCATTTTGGGTTTTCATGAGCTGTATGCCATAATCATCAGTATTAAAACAATTAAAGACCTGAAATATTTCAGTTGGTGTGCAATGAATCTGAAATACATGAAAGTTTAAGTTTTATCATTACATTGTGGAAAATAATGACCTTTATCACAATATGCTCATTTTTTGAGAAGGACCTGTACATATGCATGTGTAAATACATGTATAATTATCCATCCATCCATCCAGACGTCCACGCACCTCCTCAGCTCGTTCATCAGCTGGAACGCCTTCCTCGTGTGCGTCTGGTTGAACGTGTGGATGCCGCCGCTCATGGCGTCTTCCTCAGGGTCGGCAGTGCAGCTGGGGTGTGTCGAGGGGGGGGTGGACCCCAGGCTGGAGAGACGGGAGAGGCAGATTCTGGATCAGTTGTTGCATTTGAAGAATCCGTTTCATTCAACCTTTATTTCTACAGTTAGTCCCATTGAGCCTCAGGGACTCATTTACAAGACAGACCTGATTCTAACAGAGAGTGATGACAACAATGGACAATCATAAAGATGGTACAAATTGAGAATACAAGTGAAAATAAAATGGTAATTAAAAGAAAATGTAACAAAAAACAGCTAGATTGTAAGGCGGTGTAGAAAAGTCAAAACAGGAACGCTGAAGAGCTTAAAGCTCAATGAACACGTGACAAAACATCAACGCTGGATTAACGGTAAACATTTTCAAAATCCAGTCAATTCACTGAAACTGTCATAAAGTTATCTTGTTGCAGAAGGAGCTGGATTTTTCCTAAGATGACACAAAGACGGTCCCATCAAACCAGCAGCAGAAACTCTGAAGCCTCCAGTTGATCAATTCAAACACAATCATGTGATCATCTGACAGGATGAAGGTTCACAGACCTCCGTCTACTTCCTGCACCCTCAGCTGCTGTGAACACTTTCACTTTAGCTGGTTTAAAGCAGGGGTTCAAGCTGGGGTTCAAGCTGGGGTTCAAGCTGGGGTTCCTGGACCCCCGGGGGTCTGCGAGCTGCAGGTTGGGGGTCTGTGAGACAGAAGAAAAATATCTACATATTTTTTTATTTACTCAAGCCCAGATGAGATGATTTAAGCTTTTTTCTAGTTTGCATTAAGTTGTTAGTGAAGTCAAATAATTTAAAATAGTGCATGAATGTGCAGTGTTTCCCCCATGTCCCATCCCTTGACAGGGTGCTCAATTCCTCCACGACGGGGGGGGGGGTCGGTTAGGTAGGCAGGGATCGGTTCTATTGACCGGGCGGGGCACACACCTTGGTGGGGGAAACACTGATATGGGCACCAATCAGACGGACCTGGTGAACTAGTAACTCCCGCCTCCCTCAGCTCTGAGCCAATCAAAACTCAGATGTGACTAGAACATGCGTCGCACATCTGTAAACAGCTGTTTCTGCTGCTCAGCATTTAGTGGAGATGGAAAGGTATTTAAAACCGTCAGCTTCATTAAATGCAGAAAATGTCAAACCAGATCAACTAGAAAAATATGAGGAAAGTTGTTTTGAGTTTGGTTTCATGGAGAGCAGCGACGGACCAAGATGTGTCGTGTGTGTTCAGGTGAATGAAGCCAGACAAGCGAAGGTGACCTCTGATGACCAAGCACCCGGAGTTCAAGGGTAAAAATAAAGGTGTTTCTCAGCAAAAGGGCGACGACTACATGCAACAAACAAATGGTGGACTTGGCCACAACTCCGCAGAAAGAACAGCGGCTTCAACGCATCAAAAGTAAGAAGCCACACCAGAGGGGACAAGAACGTGTCCTCCCAGCAGCAGTGGAGATGTTTCAAGTTCTCCTTAAAGCTGTGACACTTTCCAACGACACAGACAGGAGGAGAACTGAAGAACTCTGCTGACGTGCTGTCGCAGCTGCTGGACACAGCTGGACACACTGCTGCTGGACACACAGCTGGACACAGCTGGACACAATGCTGCTGGACACA